TGAGACTGTCTCAAAAAAAAAAAAAAAAAAAAAAATTAAACTTTTGTCCACTTTCTTTATGGAGTTTTCTGGCTTGGGAGATTTTGTTTGGGGTTATATTTCCCCAGGATTTTCTAAGGGTCTATGGCAATCTAATGATTTCTTGAATATAATTTTGACAAAAATTGTACCTTAAAAAAAAGGTAAGGGGCAGTGGCTGTGGCTCAAAAGGGTAGGGTGCTGGTCCCGTATTCGGGAGGAGGCGGGTTCAAACCCAGCGGCCAAAAACTGAAAAAAAAAAAAAAAAAGCTAAGTATATTGTGCATAATTTCAATGTTATTTTTATGACTAATATTTTGTTTTTAGAAAACAGATTTATGTTCATATCTTGTAATGAAACATAGAACAAACATAAGAAAACATTTTGGTTTTACCTTTTTCAATTCAAGGTCTGAGATTTTGAGTAATGAAACTGTTAATATGCTGCTTATATCTAAACTGTTTTGGGAGTTTCCTAAGTAGCCACTAGACTACAAATATTTGATTTTGCTTTTCATAAGAGAAGATAATTTATATCTGTAATTAGCCATATACAACTGTGAGAACTGTTATATTGCACAATATTTTTTAAAAAGAGCAAATCAAAGGAAACTAACATCCTTGAGTTTAACTAGATAAAAAGTATTTGATATTAGTAGGCTAGGCACAGTGGCCTGTGTTTATGCCCTATTTTGAGAGGCTTGGACAGGGGGATTGCTTGAGGCAATATAGCAAGACTCCCATCTCTACAAAAAATGTACAAAGTTATTTGGGCAAAGATGAATAGAAAATACTTAAGTTCACAGAAAAGACTAGCACAAAACTGCCGCAAACTGATTTTATTCCTAGGTATAAATGACATTATTTGATGGTAATAAGTCCGAATACTTTGTGATATATAAAAAGGGCCTAGAGATTTTTCCAGTGTCTTTGCTATTGATAGTATGACACTTAAAGATTCTATTCTTCCCCATACTGATAATGTTGATTAATGCAACAAGCCACTGACCTAATGGCTTCTGCTACAAAATATGGGTCTGAAAATGAGTTTTCAAGGCACATCAAAAGAACTTTAAGAAAGGACTGTACCAGATAACCCGCCATACTCAACTACAGTCTATGCTAATATTCCTTTTTTTTTTTCAGTCTTTCATATGATTTATTTTCTCCCTTCAATAATAATATGATATCCAAATTTTGTCTTAACTGGCCAATCAGGTTTATCCATTCCACTTACAGGCAAGGCAAATGCTACTTCCTGAAAAGGTCTTACCACTGGTGCTCTGGTCAGCAAACACAAGTTGCCCCCTTGCCTCATTTTATCTTCTCTGTTGTGCAGCCACTTCACTGAATCTCATTCCAGACTTTAACTTTTCCATGGCTTCCATGATTTTGCCCTGTGAAGAACGTGTCTGATCTTTACTGCATTGCCACCACCTTTGGGATCCTGAGTCTTTTTGGCAAAACTGTCACTTCCAAAGGCTGCTCCCCCTTTCCCTTTTCCAGAACAGGTTTGTCTTTGGGCAGCATCTTTGAAACTTGCTTTTGAACTCACAATTCTAATACTCTTGATTTAAGATCTTCTAGAGCATAATAAAAGCAAACTGTTTCACTCAAGATCAAGAAAGCAAAAATTAATGAATTTGTGGCTAAAGTTTCTTTATTAATGCCTTCCTAACATACCTGAAGTTGCTACCTTTTTCAAACTGCCTCCTAAAATTAAAAAAAAAATGCCTTTCTACAAAACAACACAGAAAAGTGGACATTATGTAAAATGTTTTTACTAAATCTCATTACTTTGAATAAGGATGCAGGGGTTTTTTTTGTTTTTGTTTTTGTTTTGCAGTTTTTTGGCTGGGGCACACCCTCAGCATATGGGGCTGGCACCCTACTCCTTTGAGCCACAGGTGCCCTAAGGATGCAGTTTTTAACTTAAAACTTAGGTAATCTTTCTTAAAGCTTTTTTATCTTTTCACAACTATATCATTAAAACATATCAAGTTGAATAAAAGGTACAATTTGAAATACTTTATTGTAAAATACCCATCCAAGGATCTGATTATATTTGATAAAATGGTTAGTCTTGGTTTTCTGACATTTTGAAATATTCATTTCTTATACTACTTGAGAGTATTCAGTGCTACAGAGAAATGTGATGGATGAAACTTATGTGTTCAGTATAAAACGTAGCTAGAGTATGTGTGTTTAAATATATAAAAGAATAAAAGATCAAGAGACAAATAATATTCATGAGATATTGTTACCCAAATTTCTTTCTTCAGTAGGTCCTTTGGTCTCAGGGATCTGAAGAATGAACCCACTAACCACAGATCAGTAGTAAGATAGGATTTATTATACAGAAAAGAACACAGAAAAAGCACCAGAGGTCCTGGCAGAGAGAAGGACACAAGTTGGAAAATCTCCACCTGGGTCCTTTGTCCAGGGGTATATATATTCGCATAGGACATAGGTCCTTTTTATTTACATTTGGCCAGGACGTGGTAACAAATGAATGGATACAGTTCCCTCTGCTCAGGGCAAGGTGAATGAGCCATTCCTTTCTTGAACTTGCCCAGGCCTAGGAAATTTGGGTCTCTGTTCATTCCTGAATGGGGGGGAACACTGTACCACGGCTAGGCCTGTGAAATGCTCACAGAGCAGTAGTGCAGCCAGAGGAGGACGTACTAGGTCTAAGCGTGGCTCTGGGGTTGGCACCAGCGGCAGCATGGGCTGTGCTGTGGTCTCCTCATCTTCCTAGGGACCCCATCTTCCCACTGCACTCGCCCCTCTCTGCTGCACTTGGTTCTCCATTATAATTCATACAAAATACACCTGGACACTATGCATGAGGTACATGCAACACTAAGTATTCATAAAATACTAAATATACTCGACATGTGGTGCCTTAATTCAGTACCTCTTAATTCATTATGGCCCCTATATCAGGTGTCTGTTACTGGCCCAGAGTACTCACCATTTGTGGACCTCCTTACTCAAACCTGGACTCCATAAGCACATCATCAGTGAAGAAGGCTGGTGCAACAGTAAAACAAATAAGATATATGAACATTGTACTCCTGCTAATGTATATCTCATTTATTTTCCCATGCTGCAAGTTTAAATTCATTTAATGAACATTCATCCCCCCCACCTCCATTTTAATTTGGTCTGAGTATTTTTGTGCCAGGGTACTGTATTTGGAGGCTATGAGAATATCAAAGTAACTTCCCACAAGACAGTGAGGGGTCAGGAAAACAACAAGGAGGTTGAAGTCAGTAATCTGGGGATGATAGTTACTTATACAGGTGGGTGGCATGGAAGTATTGAGAATTGCAATTGGTCAGTTTCCATATGTATCTTCAAGGCCAACAAGAGAGATCCCTAGGAAGTTGCATATAAGTATGAAAAAAGACAAGGACAAAGTTACCTCCAACTAGATGAGGGTAGTTCTTCAATGGAAAAACATTGGAAGGGGGACTATCAGGGGTTTTATTTTGGACTTGTTAACCTTAAGATGTCTCTAAACATCCATGTGAAGAAAAAAAGTAAGGGATTGGATATATGTCTGAAGTTTGGGAGAGAAACCTGGGCTGGAGATGTAAAATTGGATGTCATTGATGTACTGATGGTATTTAAAGCCTGAGCCTGATGAGATTTCCATGGAAGTGAGTGTATAGAGAAAAGTTGTAAAAACTTAGCTCTGTGCCATCCAACATTAGGGAAGAAGAGATGAACTACCAACAGATGTAGAGCCACTGGTAAGGCAGAACCAAGTGAATAAAACATAGCAAGGAAAAACTGTTAAGATCCACTATGTCAATGTTTACAAAAGGTCAAGTAAAATGAAGATTGACAATTGGCCACTGGATATAGCAAAGTGGAGATTGTTTATTAGTTTATTTTTAGACTTCTAGTAAATACCATGGGCAAGATTTTGTTATTGTTGCTGTAACACCATGTCAAATACAGTAGCTGAAGCACATTAGTCATTCAATAAATATTTAGTGAATGAATTAACTTTCTCTGTTGAGACCTCTACTGAGTATACTAAGGAAAAATTTTTCACTGCCTTAGAGTCCTAAACAAGTGGCAAAATTGCCAAATCCATGTAAAGTAATACATGGTACTTCTTAGGGCCTTGAGTCATGATACTTTTTTCTGTTAAGGTTTTAGAATAAATAAAAATTATGGTTTCTTTTTAAGGGGATTTCCCAGTATAGTTGGAGAGGAAAACCAAGCAGTCGTCCTAGCTTTCTGGTATCTTAACTCCAACTGTTGAATCTAGCAAATGTTTTCAGCTAGCTCTTTTTATGCAACACTTGTTAATCCGTTAGTTGTAGATAAATTAAAAGCGTGGGTTTTGACTTACATGCTTTCTTGGGAGAAAGATAAGAACTTATTCGGGGCTGGATGTGGTGGCTCATGCCTGTAAGTCCCAAGCACTTTGAGAAACTGAGGCGCTGAGGCAGGAGAATCACTTGAGGCTAGAAGTTCAGGACCAGATTGAACAACATAGTGGGACCCTATTTCTACAAAAAAAAAAATTAAAAATTAGCCAGGGCTAGTGTGCAGTGGCTTACATCTGTAATCCTAGTGCTCTAGGAAGCCAGCAGGGAGGACCATTGGAGCTCTGGAGTTCAAGACCAGATTCAACAAATTGAGACCTATCTCTACCAAAAATAGAAAATTGGAGGGGCTTGATGGCCCTGTGGTCCTAGCTATTTGGGAGGCTGAGGCAGAAGAATCATTTGAGTCCAGGAGTTTGAAGTTGCTGTGAGTTGCAATGAGCCCATGAGTTCAAGGCTGCAGTGAGCTATGATTTTGCCACTGCACTCCAGCCTGAGTGACACAGCTAGACTGTCTCTAAAAAATAAATAAAAATTAAAAATATTTTGAAATCCTGAATGTGACACATAGCCACTCAATACAATAATGGATATTTACAACAAAGAATAATCCATGCTTCATCCCTTAATGTGGTTCAGAGCTTTGGGAGCTCAGAGTTTAACAGCCTTTGGATGTGTTATGTTATTCAAAGGTGAAGTTGATAAGAAACTGCTAAGAAGAAAATGATATTAAAACACAAGATTTTCCCATAAACTTCAAAGCTCTGTGGGACCAGTATTTAATGGGAATTTCTAATGAGTCATATCTGAGGCGACCCAAACCTAGAGATTCTGATTTAATTGGTCCAAGGAAGGAACCAGTTTATATTTAAACATACAAAAAACTTTCCCATCTTTTTCATATATGTGGTTATTTAAGAGACAAAACACTGATCTACATGATGTGTGGGATTTTTTTTTCCTACCGGAAAAAAAGAAATAAGTAGAAAGGTAGTGAGAACATGGAGTTAGGGAAAGATGCTGTAGACATTCTCAGAAAGGTAGAGAAGGATGCTGTCCTTCATTTATCACCCAGAATAATAAGTACAGCTAAGGAGAAGGTATGACAGTGTAGGAATAATCACGATAATATCTCCCATTTGCAAAAACTGAAAAAATGTACTGACAGTGAAATATTTCTATTGGTTTCATAATAGACTAGCTTATCCCTAAATCTAATCACACAATAGCTGACTAAATTAGTAGTTCTGGAATGTGATTCTTTTAAAAGATTCCTCTCACCCAGGGGTCACAAAGTCAGATGAAAGACATAAATGAGTAATATTAATTGTTTCATGTTGTACTGTGTGTTCTCCACCTTCATTTAATCCTTACAACAGCCTTTTGAGCTAAGTACTATCATCATCACACAATTGTTCAAATAAAGAAGTAGAGGCCTTAGAGACTATCTGTATCTTAACCCAAATTCCCACTAGAAATAAATTTGATCCCAAGTCATTTGCTTCTAATGATTGTACTTAAGCATTTCACATCTCTTTACTTTTGATAGTACAAAGTTGTAAAACAGAACATTTACATCTTAAGTTTTTATTTATATTTTTTTCCATCTTAAAAAGATTGCATTCTTTATGTCCAAAGAAAAATTTGGTCCATTAGTAATTTCAGAGCTTACAATTTTTCAAGATTTAAAAATATGTACATTTCATACAAAAACCTCAAAATTTTTAGAAAAAAAATACATCTGCACTTCACAGACCACAGGTTTTGGTATTTTTGGTGTATCTGAACCAATGCTACTGTAATTTATTCCTTCTGAGTTTTTTATATCACTAATGACTTGCATTCATCATTTTACCATCACAAATAGCACTTAATGACTGTTGATTGAGCCTCACCAAAAATACCCAACAAAAAAAGTAGCTTTACTTACTAGATTCTATTTATGAATTCAAATTTAAAATCTCACAGGGAATCAACTTAAATATCACTGATGAATAAAGAAAATGTGGTATGTATAAAATGAAATACTATTCAGTCTTAAAAAAATAAAACCTGCCATGTTCTACAACAATAGAAGCTGGGAGGATTAAGTGAAATAAGCCAGGCACCGAAAGACGTATTGCATGACTTCACTTATAATGTAGGATGGTTGCCAGGGAACGAAAGTGGGAATGCAGAGGGGAGATGCTGGTCAGAGAATAAACTCAGAAAGGTTTAATAAATTCTGGAGACCTATTGTACAGTATGACAAGTTAACTTTACTGTATACTGGAAAATCGCCAGGAGTAGTTTTATTAAATGTTCTCATCACTAAAATGTCCCATGATTAATGCTAAGCTTTAATTAACCACTCAAAATGCACTTACCAAATCTTGTACACTTTATACTGGCGCGGTGGCTCTAGCCTTGTAATGGTAACACTTTAGAAGGCCCAGGCGGATGGATAGCTTGACCTCACAGGTTCGAGACCAGCCTGAGCAAAGAGACACCAGCAACTACTAAAAACAGAAAAACTGAGGTAAGATCGCTTGAGCCCAAGACTTTGAAGTTGCTGTGAGCAATGACGCCACTGCACTTCACCCAGCACAACAGCTTGAGATTGTCTCAAAAAGAAAAAAAACCGTTTTAAGATTTGTAAAGAGCACTCCCCTGCGAAGTTGCCTTTCAGAAACGTAGGAGTATTACCGAACACCCTATTAGGTTAAGACTCTTGTTATCAAATGTTATCGAGTATTTAAGTTTCTGTGTCCATTCAAATTACGAAAGCCTCCAACAAGTAACAAATCCCTTGGGCTAAGTATGCAGTAAATTTAAGACCTCATAGCATCGACTTACACAAATATGCCTAAAATATCTAACAGACAGCAATGTCCCCAAACTGTACGTTTATGTGCCGCTAAAAGGCAGAACAAGCTGCAAAAACATACCTTTCGGGTAGGAAAGAATTTTCACTGTTAAGGCAAATTTAGAATAACAGGAGAAAGCTGGGCGCCAGCCCCAAGCACCGGAGGTGCGTTCAAACCTGGCTCCGACAAAAAATTGCCCAAAAAACCCTGGAGAAACCTTTTAACGATCACAGCGTCACAGCTCCTCAGCGTAAAGTTAGGGGGGCCCTGAAAAGGGCCTTTTGAAAACATAAGAGCAAAAAGCTAACGCGACTAGCCGCCGAAGCCATACAAGGTGCGACCCTGGCGCTTGAGTGCGTACACCACGTCCATGGCGGTCACCGTCTTGCGCTTTGCATGCTCCGTGTAGGTGACAGCATCTCGGATTACGTTCTCCAGAAATACCTTGAGAACCCCGCGAGTCTCTTCGTAAATGAGGCCAGAAATACGCTTAACTCCGCCGCGGCGGGCCAAGCGCCGAATTGCAGGTTTAGTAATGCCCTGGATGTTATCTCGCAGAACCTTACGGTGGCGCTTAGCTCCACCTTTACCAAGGCCCTTTCCTCCCTTGCCGCGACCAGACATGACGAAGATCAAATCAGCAAGGCTCACGAAGACCTCTAGAAGGATTAAGCCTGGGGCAGCCCTTTAAATAGCCGCTTGCGGACCGAATTGAGAACCGGAATAAAGGCGGCGGAAAGCCCGCCCCACAGCCGGGGGCAAACTCTAACCCGCGCTCTGTCCAAAAACGCGCGCTTCCTGCTTCCTTGTTCTGTTTGTAAAGTAGCACACTACCTTGTTTTAAATCTTAAACGTAAACTGCCTTTGAATGCAAAAGAAAGACATAGGAAAAAGGGCAGTCAAGAATACCTATACACAAAGCTCGCTAATAATAACTCACAAGATATTTTAATGAGCAAGTAAACGATACGTGTACTGAGCAAATTAATGCTTTGTGTGTGCTGTTTGTGGTGTTTTGTACCTTTTTTTAAGACAGTTTCACTGTCGCCCTGGGTAGACTACCCTGGCGTCATAGGTCACAGCAGATTCTTGGGCTGAAGCGATTCCCTTGCCTCAGCCTCTTAACTGGGACTACAACGCCTGGCTATTTGAGGTGGGGGCAGGGGTGGTTTCGCTCTTGCTCAGGCTGGTCTCGAACTCCTGCGCTCAGCATTCCACCCGCCTTGGCCTCCCAGAGTGTTGGGATTACAGGCGTGAGCCCCTGCGCCTGGCATGTTTTGTAACTTCTTTACGCTATATTTTAATCAATTTCTCTTATCGAAAGTAGTTTTGAAAGAAATGATTTTGGTGTCTAGTTGTTATTGCTCTCTCTCTCTCTCTCTCTCTCATTTCTTTGAGACGGATCTCACTGTATGTACTAGACTGGAGTACAGTGATGCTGTAACAGCCCACTGCAAACTTGTGGAGTCAAGCAGTACTCCTGACTCAGCCTTTGGAAGTAGCTAGGACAGTAAGCATGCTCTATCTTTGTAGAGACAGAGCTGGCTATGTTGCCCAGACTGGTCTCCAACTCAACTGAGCTTTCAGCCTCAGCCTCCCAAAACGCTGAGACTATACATGTGAGCCACAATTCCGGTCCTGTTTATTATTTCTTCTTATGAATTCTCCGTAATAGCATATTATTCCTTCTTATGAATTTTCCATAATTTTAACCAATTTCCTAGCAGTTCATTGATCAGTCAAATTATTCTTTTTTGGGGGGGAGGGCAGGCCTGGGTTTGAACCCACCACTTCTGGCATATGGGGCCAGCACCCTACTCCTTGAGCCACAGGTGCCACCCAGATCAGCCAAATTTTTTAAATAAATCTTTTCCCTGCTACCTTTGAGGTAGATAAAATGCTACCTTTGAAACTATACATATAAGGAACTATTACCAGAATTCTATTTATTCCATGATTGAATCAAGTTCCCTTGCCAAAGTGAATCGATGTCCACAGTTTAAAATTTAGAAAAATTGCATTAGTGAAAAATTTTAAAGTGATTACATATATCTGCTTAATATTCAGTCACAAAGATTTTCTATGATGCATTTTAACAAAATGTCTAGTACTTAGCAATGATGTTCTAATTTCTGCTCATGATTTATTTCCTGAGAATAATCTAAAACTGAAATCCTTTGTCAAGAAGGATACATATTTTAAGGTATTTTGATTAATCTTATGTAGAAAGCAAGGCTGTTGGCCCCCAAAAAGGTTCACTGAAAAATCACTGACATTAGGCAGATTACTTGGAGAAAAATACACGTTTATTTTAACATGTATACACAGGAGCCTTAAGAATGAAAACTCAATAAAGTACAGAGGTTTTTAAAGAATGGGAGCTTGGGTTGTAGCCAAACAGATTTTTTGTGGCAGGAAAGGTTAAGGGAGAGAGGAAGCTTGGTTAGCAAAAGTGGTCTTCTTGTGCAGATTAACCTCCTAAGTAGTAGCCTTTTGAGGAGAGAGGTAAATGATTCTTCTTAGAACTTTAAAGGTGTCAGAATTTCAGTTTCTCTTTCCCAGATCCTAAGGTAAGACCTGGAAGCGTTTAATGGAAATTCTCTTCCAATGCAAATTTCCCCTGACAAAAGACAGTTTTGCACCCATAAGAAACTTTGATAGTGAAGAAACTAAAGAAATTTCATCCCAAACTACGGCTACTTGGCATAAAGAATACTTTGAATTAAAAATGGCATAAAGAATACTTTGAATTAAAAGCCATTTGAGATGAGAAAGTGTTCGGGAGGGACTTTCCCTCTAACTACATAAAACCAGACTGACCAGATGAAAAGGTCCAGAGAGGAGGGGAGCAAATGAATTCTTTTCCTCCCCTTAAATGCTAGCAGACCTGGCTCAAATCATTTAAAATACAGTATCTGTCTCTCAGATTAGTTTACAAGTCAGTCTGTTTCCCAGATTTATTCATTCTCCCTAGCAACCATTTATTGCACCTATACTCTATATTTCCCCCCTTCCCTTCTAAAAGGCACCTATAAACATATCTGATCATCATTGAGACACTGGGTCATCACACTTGTGATTCTCCACATGCACATGGTATTTGGGAATAAACATTTCTCTTATTAATCTACCTTAATTGTGAGCTGATTTGGAGTGAAAATTTGGGGTAAAGGGCAAATTTCCCCTTGTCCCTACAGTAGCCATCTCAAAATATATAAAAGAAATATATTTTGGGGTAAGATATTCTAATTTTCTTCACTTACTACATTTTTCTCAAAGGTTTTTGATAGCTATTGAAAGGTGCCACAAAGACCATGCCACGTAGATTTAATAGAGATTTATTAAGAGCATCTGCAAGCAGATGGGACTGCCAGCAAAAATGAAAAATGGTGGCTGAAAGGGAGGCACTCTACCGGCAGAGATTTCACAGACCACTAAGGCTTGTAGGAAAGGTCTTTACTGGTGGGGGAGGGAAGGCTGCAGAGCAGCAACAAGGAGGGGAGAAAAACAGAAGAGAAAAGAGGAGAGAAGAGAGGGGAAAGAGATGAGGAAAGAGTGGAGAAGATAAGAGAGAGTAGGGAGAGCAGAAATGAGGGAGGGGAGGAGAGGGAGAGAGGGAGAGGGAGGGAGGGGGAGAGAGAGAGAGAGAGAGAGAGAGAGGAGAAACGTATCCTTATGTAGGGAAGTCTCAGAATGGTGATGGGATGGTGGGATAACCAATAAGGAGTTACTGCTGGGGAGGGGACAGGGAGAGTTGTTAGGGGCGGGCAGCGGGTAATTGGAACAGGGTGATGAGGTAAGCAGGCCATTCCCTGTGCTTGGGAAGGAGTTGTAACTTTAAGAGCAGGAAGGGGGCTTTCTGGGGAAGGAGCTTTCTGAGGCAATTATCTAACAATGGCAGCCCTGAGTTAGGGTTAGGGAGTTATTTTATATGGGTTTGAGTCCTGTTTGATGAACATTCTGGTGTCATTTGGGAAGTGCTGTATGTGTAATTAATTCAGGAGGTGGTGGGTATGCCAGCCATAGCTCAGTAACTCATGATGTAGTGTAAAAGACTAACTTAGGTCATCTGCTGAAAGCCTTGTAGAAGATCAGAAGGTTATCTACTATAAATCTACAACTTGGAAGGAATGTTTGACAGAACCAGAAGAAATACTGCAAGTCCTATCCTTTACTTAATGAATGTCTAGACCCATTGTGGATAGAGGAAGACTAACAAGTCCTATTCTATTCTTTACTTAATGAATGTTTAAACTCCTAGGAGGTAGAGAAAGACTAACAGCCGAAATCCCGTCTTTTTTTTCTTCCATTAATGTGGGGTTTTTACTGAGGCCAGGGACATTATTCCTAGGCTGAAACACATGAAACCGCCATTTCTATGGGTCAAAAATAGTCAAATGTTGCCAATTTCATGTGATTCAATTTAACATCTTACTGCCATTGACAGGACTTCAAACAGCATCTGGCTCAGAGTAAATGTGCAATAAATATTTGCTGGCTGGATGAATTGAGCAAATCCCCTTTCCTACCAAACTTCCTTCTGAAACCACAGCATGATAACCCAGTTTTCCAATGGCAAATATCTTTATACTCACTTTTTAGAGGGGAGAGAAGAAACTGAGATGATAAACAGTTGCTAGGGAGAAAGAATGGATGCAGAAGAAATACTTTGACTTGTAAATTAACCAGGGAGACAAATTTTTATGACCTAAATAATTTGAGCCAAATCTCCCTACATTCTCAACCCTTATTCCTGAAATAATTTGAGATAATGGGGAGGGGAAAGGAAGGCGAATAAACTGTAGCCTTTGATCCTCTCACCAGGCCAGGAGAGTTTATGCAGATAAAGGGAAATTCTCTCCTCCAGTGTTTCATACCATATTTGGGGGTGAAATCTTCTTAGCTCCTTCAGTTGCAGAAGCTGAAACCAGGACATCATTCCAGGTTTGCCTTCTCTCTTTCACCGACCCCTGTAAGTCAGTCTGCAGCAAGGTCTGCCCTTTCTGCCTCCTTTATTCCTTAAATTCCCTTATCTGTTCCTCTTGTTTCTACCTTCTTTTCTGGCCTTCATTTGGGCCTTGCTACTGGCTGTCATTCCTCTTGACCTTAGATCTCACTTACTTCCAATCTACTCTCAGTTGGAGCCACCAGAGTAATGAATGTGAATCCTACACTTCACAAGATTTTAAAATTCTGCCTAGAATCCACCCTTCCCTAGTAGATACACATCATACCCCTTTTGAAGGCATAGACTTCTCAGGATCTTAAAACTGCATTTTATATCCAGTCATTTCAGACTCTAACAGCTCTTAAAAAAAAAAAAAAACTCCTCTAGTTTATTGGAAGCCCAGGTAGGCAGTCTTCATTTTGCTGCCTTCCCATTTTCTCTTTAGAGTCCCTACTTTCTTACTGTTTCTTTCCAAAATACTGTGAATTTTCCCATTGCAGGAACTTTTCTTAGCACATATTAGGCACTCAAGATCAGTTTGCAAAATAATATGAATGAAAGAAGGGAAAATGGATTGAATAAGCAAATCTCGAAGTTTGCCTTAAGGAAAAGTGCACCGGTAACATTCATCCTTTTTTGGTAACCAATACTTCCTAACCTTATTCTCCAGCAAAAATATAACAGTAGTTCTTCCCTGTGTTCTTCCAGAGAGTGGTCCAGCACAGACCCCAAACCAGACATGACTTTAATTTTGGCTTCTAGCATCAGAACACAAGGGTTTCCTGCCAGTAGGGAAAAGGCACACATTGCTTTACTGTTATTTCAAAGGGAGATAAAGAGGCAAAGGAAATGAAGTTTTCCAAGTCTTCCTACTTAGGCTGACACAGATAAAACACTCAGGTTTATTTTTCAAAACGTGCTATAATAGCATCCCTTAAAGCCATTTAACCCTTTTAACAATGCTTAATTTTAGAGATAAGGGTGAGGTGGGGAGTGGAGAACAGAGTATAGGTAAATTGCATGGAGAAGAAAAAAAAATTAGAAACTAGAAAAGGAAACCTCAACTATGCAGCCTTATGACTTTAAATCACCAAGTCTTAAGTCAGCACAGCACTATAACATTAAAGCTTATCTTACCATCAAACTATTAAAAGCTTCTACAAAATGCAGGGGTTGTGAGCCTGCAAAGGATTTGGAAAGCAAACACTTAGGCTTCGTTTTGTCAACTGACTCACAATTTCCAGACCCAGCTTTAAATGATTGCTCGAATTACAGTCAATAATCATTTTCAATAATGAGCGAACTATGATTGTCAAAATATAACTTGAAAGAGAACTCCAGGAACCATTCAGACTCTCTAGCTACTTGCAGTACACTAGCATTTTCAAACACTTAACATCAAGCAGAGTTGGTAATAGAATTTAGATTAGTTCTTCTGGAACCATACAAAACTTGTCTATCAATAGGGCAACTGCAGCTGAGAAATGCCAAAATAAGTAAGTACAAAAAGAAAACTAGGAAATACAGTATTTTGCTTAATACCAATTACGCATTCAAGTAGTACAAAACGGCCATTTCTATTTTAGACAAATACATAACTAGAAGTGAACTGGCTCTTTTTTAGAAAAAGTGGGAGGCTCTGAAAAGAGCCTTTGGGGTGTAGGGAGAAACCGACGACACTTCTACAGCTTGGTATTCATTTGGAGCTGGTGTACTTGGTGACGGCCTTGGTGCCCTCCGACACGGCGTGCTTGGCCAATTCGCCGGGCAGCAGCAGGCGGACGGCAGTCTGGATCTCCCTGGAAGTGATGGTCGAACGCTTGTTGTAATGGGCCAGACGAGAAGCTTCACCCGCAATGCGCTCAAAAATGTCGTTGACGAAGGAATTCATGATGCCCATAGCCTTAGAAGAAATACCAGTGTCCGGATGGACCTGCTTTAGCACCTTGTACACGTACACCGAGTAGCTCTCCTTGCGACTGCGCTTGCGCTTCTTGCCGTCCTTCTTTTGTGCCTTATTAATGGCTTTCTTTGACCCCTTTTTAGGGGCTGGAGCTGATTTGGCCGGTTCAGGCATGGCGAGAGGAAAAACAAAAAAGCGGAGAAAAATGGCAGGCTTGGACTGTCCTCCTTATTTAAAGGGGGTCATGCAAATTAGGAGTGCTAAAAGGCTGTGATGATTGGTGGCTATATTTGAATGACGTCTAAAGACAGCTTTACCCAATCAAAATGCGTATCCTGCATACTCGCGTTCCATTGGTCCAAATGAAAATCAAGTTTAGCCAGTCCTATGGTTTTCTTTTCGCGCCCATCAGAGGCTATAAAATCTACTTCTTTCGCGGTGGTTTTAGCTTTCTGACTGTGTCTGAAGGTTTCCCACTATGTCTGGTCGTGGCAAGCAGGGAGGCAAGGCTCGAGCCAAGGCCAAAACTCGTTCTTCGCGAGCCGGCCTTCAGTTCCCAGTGGGCCGTGTCCACCGCCTTCTCCGGAAAGGAAACTATGCGGAGAGAGTAGGCGCTGGTGCTCCAGTCTACCTGGCAGCAGTGCTGGAGTACCTGACTGCCGAGATCCTGGAGCTGGCAGGCAACGCGGCCCGAGACAACAAGAAGACTCGCATTATTCCTCGCCATTTGCAGCTGGCCATCCGCAACGACGAGGAGCTCAACAAGCTACTGGGAAAAGTCACGATCGCGCAGGGCGGCGTGCTGCCCAACATCCAGGCTGTTTTGCTGCCTAAGAAAACTGAGAGTCACCACAAGGCCAAGTAAAGACCAAGTTGGGAAGCGTTTAAAAACAAAGGCTCTTTTTAGAGCCACTAACATAGTCATAAAAGGTGACACGATTCTTTATTGTTAAGTTCTCAATGCCCTGATGTTTCTGAGTTGGCCGTAAGTCTTAACCTTAATTTCCAAGTCTTCGTTGCCAGAATTTGTGTTCCTTCTCTAGTTTGTGGGAACCTGCAAGGCAGTCTGTCAACACGTTAAAGCTCACTTGACACTTTTCTGAATGTGCTGCAATCTCTAGGTCGTTTATATTGAGTTCAAAAGAACGTTAAGGTGATATAAGATGTCAATGGTGATTATTAGATAACCTAGGTTCACATCTGCAAATTAGCTGTAGGTGGCTTAAGTAATGAATTTCAATTTTAGGGATAAATAACGTCCCTATAAAGATAGGGGTTTGCTAGGGCACAGAAGTGTTTTGCAATTAAGGATCAAGAAAACCCTATGGAATAAAGTGATTATCTCACACTTAAATTTAGTTGCATAGAATATTTTGTTGGTCTGCTTAGTAGAAGTAGTAATGTATAGTTCTATTTGACATTACATTTCTTTATAGTTTGCCTCAGACTAAACTGAGGGCAGAATCCACAGCCCTCTTTCCCAATATCTTGTCAAGAAGGCACTCACTGCTTATGTTTGTAAAAATATAGTAGTACATGTTATGAGTGTGCACATTGGTTGTACGTTTTTAAAATATCTGCATTTACTGGAGTTTGGAATAAAAAGAAAACTGGCCTTAGAAATTTTCAAATTAAGGGGTTTTCAAACATATGCATGTGTACATTGGGCAATGGCCCACTTAGCATGTATGTGTGTATTGTAATGCTAAAATAAAATTTTATGAATTAATGGTTACCTTTACTGTGTAAGTTTCATTCTGTTATCTCTTTGTTCAATTTTTTATAATATTTGTAGTTAACCTTTTTGTACCTGTTTTTTTTCATGTTCCAAATCTATCCTATGAACATTGTTATGATTAAGTAAATGAGTTAAATAGTTGCTTAGTACATTGGCAGAAAAGTAGCTGGCTAAGCATACTAGTACAGGCATGTGATAATGATGGTGGTTCTGGATGCTATGAAGATGATTCTAAGAGCAGTAATGGATAGACACCTACAGTTGGGAAAAAAAAAAAAAAAGTTCTTTTCTGAAAAGCCAAAGGCCATAAGATCCACATTGTCCATTTCTCTATATATAGGCATACTGAAATCCTTTTATCTGGGCCTTGGAAAAGATTGGAACTTTTATGGTGTGTATCATTTTTGTTATCTCAGGAAATTCAGGCACACGAAACATTTTTCTTTCATTAAATTCTAATATTCTTTAAAAATATATTTATTTCACACTTAGGTGCCATACGTTAAAGGTAAAGCATTAAAAAAACAGTGCCTGTCCTAATGAAATATAATCCATTAGGTAGAAACATCCAAAAACAAATAATTAAAGGCAACATAGCAAGAATAACTATGGAAGTGACATGGGGAATTAGGGAAACACAGAGGAAGCATAAACTCAGTGTAAGTTAACATTTGATCAAATGACTAAAATAAATTAGGAATTGGGAAGTATGGGGATCCAGCAGAGCATGAGCATTGCCAGAGACGTGTGGCTTGTGATATGAGCAGACAAATAATACAAAGTCTGACACTGGAAATAAAATTAAGATTACAAAGGATAAGCCTAAGCCAGATGGGATTTATAGTCCACTCTAAGTTTTAAATACCTTTTCTTGCTAATGACTCCAAATTTGTATGAGTATTCCAGATTTATCTTCTGAATTCCATCCATGCATATTCATCTATCTTTTGAAATAATTGTAGCTCACCAGAAAAAAACTCAAAATCCATATCCCAAAATGATCATCATCATCAATTCTACTTCCTAGGGATCCTTGTCTTAGTAATGGCATCACCATCTACCCATTAGCATGGGCCGAATTAATCTGATGTCATAGAGTATTCCTTTTTATGTACTATTACTACAGCAAAACTCAGTTTCTGTACAGAGAGATGAAAGCATGTTCATAGTTCAGAAAGAACTTTGCCAGAAGCCTATTAGCATATGGAATATTTGAGAGACAGAAAGAACTTTGATAGAAGCCTATCAGAAGCCTATCAGCACATGGAATATTTGAGATAAAGAGAGTATCCATGTCCATATAACTACAGACATTAGAGTGTCCAGAATATTTGAGAGACATAGAGTATCCATATCCACATAACTAGAACCACTCACTGCCCCTGAATAAATAACTCTTCTTTTAATAAGAACTGAAAAGTTAACTGAGAGAAGTATATTGGCTGTATATCTCCAGAAAAGGGTGCCCTACACAACCAGCAAGTGTATTGGATCTGAGCAGACCAGGCAATCTATGTGGTCCCTTACTGATTTATTAAGAACTCTTAAGTTTCCTAACCCAGAAAGAAGAAATTTACTACTTACACACTCAAGAATACCAATCTGCCAGCTTGGGCAACATAGCAAGACCCTGTCTCTACACACATACACACAAATAGCTGGGCTTGGTGGCCATGCCTGTAGACTTAGCTACCTGGGGAGACTGAGGCAGAATTGAAGGATTGCTCCTAGAAGTTGGAGGGTACAGTGAGCTATGATCATGCCACTGTGCCCCAGCCTGAGCAATATAGTAAGACCTTGTTTTTTTTTTTAAAAAAAAAAGTCTTTTAAAGCAGTTGGTTTTAGACTGGAATAGCAATAGCAGGGCCCCCAAGTGTCCTTGGGGGCATTGCTCCCCTCCAAATTAGTGAATCTTCCTTTCCATAGGAAGACTAACTCCTGAGAGAGGAACACTCAGTATGTTGTTTTGCCTAAGGTTTTGATTCCAATAGAAAGTAATAGAACATTAATTTTTTAAAATATTAGTCATCCTAAATCAAACTAAATTATTAATTATTCTAAATTATATATGTGAAAATCATGGGTCCTACTTCCCACAAACCCACTCATAGGAAGGTAAAAAATAAGCAGATTGCAATGGTTATGTTAGTGATCTTGTAATCAAAAAAATTTTTTAAAATAATGTAACCAGTTCTGGTAACTGAATAGCATACATAAATAGCCAAGTGAAACAAGATAGAGAATTCAATTTGCTTTTTAAAATAATGTAAACATACTATGATCTTTCCACTCATGTTTCACAAGTTGTTATCAGTTGAGGAGGAATAAGCATAAGAACACATACCCAAAACAATTTGCCAGGGAGTCTTAAGTGCTTAGAAGATGAGAATGGAAGAGATCATAAAGTTACAGATGCTTAGAAGTCTGAATACAACAATGAATGGGGCAATGCCTCTTATGGTTTAATGGAAGCTGACTTTAGCGAAATTAGCAGGTTAATGTGTTTTACTTTCATTTGGGATTCCCCACACGGTCATTTTAGTATTATTCATTCATGCATTTGTTCATTTACCCAACAAATATGGATTAAGAGCTACTACATTTCTGGGAATACATGAGTAAACAAAAGTTCCTCCTTTCATGGACATAAATTTTAGAAGAGACAAAGCAAAAATAAATGAGCAAAACGTGTGGCACAACATATGCTAATAAACTGTAGGATGGAAAAGTAAGTGGAACTTAGTTTTAATTTGCAAAGTCAGTGAAGGGTCTGATAACTTACCAGCAATGACCCCAGAGGTGTTTTGTTCTGTCAACAGCGGAACTCTCTTCTCTCCTCTCTCTCTCTCTCTCTCACACACACACACACGTACACGCTCACACGCAAGTTTTTACATGGCCTCTCTGGCTGGCTCTCCCTACAGACCACTCTGTAGACCTCCCAACTACACTCCAGTAGCTTAAGTAGGCGCTAATGTCGGCTTGAAAAGCTGAATTCAGACTGAGAAATGAAACAGCTAAGGAAAGAATAGAGAAAAAAATGCTTTCACTTTAGTCAACACGAGCTACATTAACAACCTTCATTTTTCGAACTTCAATGCACATCACAGTACCAGTTTGCAGAAGTCAGGGTACCGTCTTGTCAAAACTGTAGCAAAGGCGGCGGGTAGGGTTGGGTGATTTAATTAAAAAAAAAAAAAAAGACGTGCAAGGTTATCACTTCCCGAATTAGCATTTTGGTAGTAGTTTGAATTTCACATCTTTAGAAAACACTGCAAAACAACTGGACAATGGGCTCTAACATAGATAACCAAACAGGATTTTATGCAGAGAAACAGATCTTTTGGATACCCACGTGGGTGGCTCTGAAAAGAGCCTTTGGAAACACAGCTGGAAAGTCCTTGAGACTCAAGCTCTTTCGCCACGGATGCGACGCGAAAGCTGTATGTCCTTAGGCATGATAGCGACACGTTTGGCATGGATAGCGCATAAGTTGGTATCCTCGAACAGCTCCACCAGTTAGGACTCACAAGCCTCCTCCAGAGCCATCACCGCCGAGTTCTGAAAACGCAAGTCGGTCTTAAAGTCCTGCGCAGTTTCCCGCGCCAGTAGCTGAAATAGCAGCTTAGGAATCAGCAGCTCCGTAGACTTCTGGTAGCTGCGGATTTCACGTAGAGCCACAGTACCGGGACGGTACCTATGAGGCTTCTTCACGCAGCCAGTGGCCCGGCCACTCCGTCCTCCGCGCTGCCTTTGTAGCCAGCTGCTTGCGCGGCGCTTTACCGCCAGTGGACTTACGAGCTGTCTGCTTCGTGAGAGCTATACCTCAAATGCTGAATTCAAGTTAAAAAAAAAAAAAAAGCAACACTAGGCCTCCTATTTATAGCGAGAGTCTGAAGCTGAAGCTGATTGGGCAAAACCAGGCCGCTAACAGTCACCTGATTGGTGAATGGTAACTGGATTGGTCAAGAAATAGGGGATTTGGAGAACAAAAACGTACAAGCCATATCCTCTGATGTTCTAAATTGTGGATGGCCTCCATTACTGTTTTTGTATATTCTCTGTACCGCATTTCACTATATACCAGCAATTTCTAGTGGAAATAAATGTGAGCGACATAAGTAATTTAAAATTTTCTAAGAGCCACATTAGAACTAGAACCAGGAAAAATTGTTTTTAATAATTTGTTTAATTCAATATAGCCAATATGTACATATGTAATCAATATAAAAATTGTTAGATATTTTGCTTTTGACATTAACTCTCTTAAATCCAGTATGTATTTTATAAGTACAGTACCTCTTATTTCAGACTGTCAAATTCCAACAAACACTAGCCCAAGTGTCTGCCACATTACACAGCACAGCCCTGTACACCCTCCTCTCAATTTTCTATCCTTGGAACACTTTAGGACTTCTTTTACTTGCCATCAAGAAAACCTGATTTGGGCCGGGGCTCAGGGGCTCAACACCTGTAGCAGTCTGGGAGACTGAGATGGGAGGATTGCTTGAACCTAGGAGTTTGAGGTTGCTGTGAGTTAGGCTGACACCATGACACTTTAACCTGGGGCAACAGAGTGAAACTGTCTAAAGAAAAAAAAAAAGAAAGAAAATCTGATTTGCATGAGAGGAATTCAAAGTCTAATAATTTCATAAACATATCCTTAGACGAATTTTTCAGCTTTGTATAATATAATTTCATTGCAGCGTAATTTATTTTTCTAATATTCCGAAAAATGCAATCTATTCCATCAGTGAATCAAGTTCTAATTTAAATCAGATTAAAAAGACCAAGTCAAAGGTATTTTTAAAGTAGAATTTTGCATGCTCAAAGGAGTTAATGGTCATCTCAACTTTATATTAATGTGTACATTTTCAATAAGTTTATTGAAAACACTCCAAAAAACAGTGATAATTGCCTGGACCTCAAATAACTCAATCAACTGTTGTAACTAAGCCAATTACAAATTCTTTCCTTTATTCTATCGCCAAACCAAACTGATCTAATTATCCTGATGCAGGACTAGGTTTTTCTCAGGAAATAGCAATTGGCCTAGGATAGAAGTTTGGCTTGAACCCTGCATCCTCAGAATGTTTCTTTGCTAAGACTCAGAAATCAATGTCTTAAAGATAACTACATTTGCCCCTAAAACAACTTGTATCACCAGAAGCTTGCTTCTCAAGAGGCTCAAAACTGGGCAGGGTGCAGTGATTCACGCCTGTAATCCTAGCACCCTGAAAGGCCGAGGTAGATGGATTGCCATTTCTACTAAAACTAGAAAACCTAGCCAGGCCTAAGATGCATACCTGTAGCCCCAGATACTCGGGAAGCTGAGGTAAGAAAATTGCTCATGCTGACTTTGAGCTTGCATTAACTATGACAAGGCACTCTACCCAGTGACTGTTGAGACTTTTTGAGTCTCAAAACTAGTGGCGGGAAGAGCTGTAAATGGGGATTGCTTATCAACCTGGAAAACCACTTAAATCAGATTCAAGAAATCAGCAATGGATTTCATTATCAAGCTTAAAGTCCAATTTAGAAAAATAAGACTGCTTCCCCCAAACGGGTAATCTTAACTCTTACGGAGAATTGGTGCTCAGTTCTTTACAGGAAAATTTTAAGTGGCTCTGAAAAGAGCCTTTGGTTCAATTGGGATGTTCGAGTGGCTGCAAATTAAGCCAGGCCTACTACTTGCCCTTGGCCTTGTGGTGACTCTCAGTTTTCTTAGGCAGCAAAACAGCCTGAATGTTGGGCAGCACGCCGCCCTGCGCGATCGTGACTTTCCCCAGTAGCTTGTTGAGCTCCTCGTCGTTGCGGATGGCCAGCTGCAAATGGCGAGGAATAATGCGAGTCTTCTTGTTGTCTCGGGCCGCGTTGCCTGCCAGCTCCAGGATCTCGGCAGTCAGGTACTCCAGCACTGCTGCCAGGTAGACTGGAGCACCAGCGCCTACTCTCTCCGCATAGTTTCCTTTCCGGAGAAGGCGGTGGACACGGCCCACTGGGAACTGAAGGCCGGCTCGCGAAGAACGAGTTTTGGCCTTGGCTCGAGCCTTGCCTCCCTGCTTACCACGACCAGACATGGCAAAGAACCTATAGTCTTGGTTAACAAAGACTAGACACGAAATGCGAAAAACGCAGATTTTATAGCCTCTGATGGGCGCGAAAAGGAAGACGTGTGATTGGCTAACATTTGATTTTCATTTAGACCAATGGAACGCGAGTATGCAGGATACTCATTTTGATTGGGTAAAACTGGCCTGTGACGTCATAGACAACTATCCACCAATGGCCAGAGAGTTGGACCCCACCTCATTTGCATAAGCCACTATTAAATAAAGGAGAGCCGGTTGGCTTTTTCGTCTTTTCCGTTTTCCCTTCATCATGCCTGAGCCAGCTAAGTCTGCTCCAGCCCCTAAGAAGGGCTCCAAGAAAGCAGTGACTAAAGCCCAGAAGAAAGATGGTAAGAAGCGCAAGCGTAGTCGGAAGGAGAGCTACTCCGTGTACGTGTACAAGGTGTTGAAACAGGTCCATCCCGACACCGGCATTTCTTCCAAGGCCATGGGCATCATGAATTCCTTCGTTAACGACATCTTCGAGCGAATTGCAGGTGAGGCCTCTCGTTTGGCGCATTACAATAAACGTTCGACCATCACTTCCAGGGAGATTCAGACCGCCGTGCGCCTCCTGCTGCCCGGAGAATTGGCCAAGCACGCGGTGTCCGAGGGCACCAAGGCGGTCACCAAGTATACCAGCTCGAAGTAAATTCTCGAGAACGCATTATCAAACCCAACGGCTCTTTTCAGAGCCACCTACTACCTAGGAAGAGCTGGTACACTTTATTACCTATATGGGGGCGAAGGGTCGTACCCTAAACCGGGACCCACTGGGTTTCTTTAACCAGGCCAGTCCGCACAATACAAAATGCAGAACATCCAGCTCTTAGAAAACGTGAAAAAACTGGGTTCAGCCACCGAAGCCGGCCTTACTGTCTGGGTGTATAGAAACTGTTACAGCAGTTACCGTCCTGCGTTTGGCATGCTCAAATTTCGTCAAGGGTCACTCACATTTTGCAGAATTCTGGATGTTGTGGCGCCAGAGTGGTGACGCTTACTGAGTTCCCCTTTTACCTAAGTCCCCGCCCACGTTAATTGATTTAAAAAAAAAAAAAAAAAGCCGAGAGAATGATGGCGGTTTGCATTTGAATTTTTCGGACCAAATAGAAAACTGGAGTCTTGTGGTCCGCCATGCTATACGGGTATTGCTCCACTCTCTCTTTTTCTGTTCCTGGTGGCAAAAGAAGAGGAGCTGCTTCTGCTGGAGAGCCCAAGGGTCCCAAGCCATTTGGGGTATATGAGAGGGTGGTGTGGTCCCCTGACGCGCTCAGAAGGCAAGAGGGTGGTAAAAGCGCATCCTCTCAAAGTGCAAAGGTAGGAACAGGGTGTTATGAATCTCAAAGCCTAGATTGCATTAAGAATAGAAGGACTGGTTCCTGGTCCCAGCTCCTCCATTTGCTATGTGACCCTAGATACTTGTAACCACTCCAGGTATTTGCTTACTAAAATGAATGTGTTCTTAGCAAACTGTGTAAATCTGGCACGTTAGAGTGATTAATGTATGTTAACTTGTTAGTACATCCCCATAGGTAGATAACTGTCACCATCTGTTTCTCAGATTAGGAAATACAACAGAGAAATAACATACTTAACCATGCAGCAAGAATCACAGTGGAACTTAAGCAGCCGAACTCCACAGTCCACACTCCTAGCAGTAGGGCCTACTGCCCGTTTTAGTCATAATCTCCACCTCCACGAAAACAAAGCACACAAAGGAAGCATTAAAATAGGCCTGTGTTTTTATTAGTCACTCCTTCCTGATAGCTATTTATTTATTCAGATTTATTGGGTATTTGTCATGTTCCTAGCTCTGTGCTTAATCCTTATCCCAACTAGACCCCTAATTGTCTGTCTTCCAGAATTTATATAACCTCTGGTCTCCCTGTTTTTCCTCTGTAAAATGGAATAACCTGAAGATTGCAATAATAAGTTTAAAGAGAGTTTAGCAGCTCTTAGTCACTCAAGATTGTTTTTTCCTTTCTTCTCTAAGGATAAATATGTACCAGAATCACATGAGATAATTTATGTGAAGATGCATTATTACAATTATAAAGGCTTTTTGTGCATTTGTTTTGTGTTTTCCTAGGAAAGCCAGTAAATCAACAGGGCTCTGGCCAAATTTGTGTTAATGATCTTCTGCCATCCTGTTGCATTATGGCATTAACAAAACCAGTAATACTTTTTACACACCTTTTCCAGGTTCTTTAAAAAACATTTCTGTATTAGAAAATCAGTTCAAATGATCAGTAAAAGTTAACACCTTGCTTTCTCCTAATCTTTAATGAATTTACTAGCAAACAGGACGCCAAAGCAGATTTGTAAATGTGTTTCTACCACCAAAACACAACTGTATTTCCTAAACTCTTTACCAACCAGTTGAATAACATTTCATTAAGCATATTCTATTCACTGTAGGCCAATTGTTACATTCTGAAAAAGGAATGGAAAGGAAATCCTGAATAAGTTTCCCAGACATTAATTGTCGGTTATTGCTGATGGCCCTGCATACTGGTACAGTACTTTCATGAAGAAAAGTTTGTAAATATCGGTCAAAATTTAAAATGCATGTATCCTTATACCCCACAAATTTCACCTCCAGGAATTTACTATTTTTGAAAATATGCCAAATAACACAGAGTTTTTCAGCAGTACAATTTACAAATTGTACAAATTGATCAGTGAAAGTGAGTCTCCACTTGTTACTTGTCAAATATGAGTAAAGGAGAAAAGCAATCCCAATGGTCACTAATAAATTACGGCACATCATTCTATCTGGTAGTAAAAACACATAAGGCTTTTTCATAATACTTATTGCTTCTATGTGCCAGATAATATACTAAAAAGTTCCCTATATGCATTAAGTCATTTAATTTTCATAACAACCCTGTAAGTTACTATTGTTATACCTGTTTTACAGATCAGAAAATGAGCATTTGGAGAGGTGGAGTAAATTGCCTGAAATTGCATAGTTTTAAAGTTGTCAGAATCAAAATGCAGTCACTAATGTTTAGAAAACACTGACAAATGTTGATGAGGAAGGCCATAAAGAGAGAGGTCTCCTGCATTTAAGTCTGATAACAAAACTATCACAAAAGATTGTAAAAACCACAATCACACAGAAAATCTTTGTAAAAGGATATCTGCCAAACAACTGAACATCTGCCTGTCTAAACTTAGACCAAGGTCATCCTTCTTATTGATCTTTGTAGCCAATTATTGTTATTTCATAACAATTATATAATACTTCTAATTTTTTCCTTTAAAAGCTTTTGAATTCCTTTACCTTCCTGAATACATAGTTTACCATGGCTCATGTATTCCCATTGCAATGCTTTATTCTCAAATAAATTTTCTTTTAAAAAGACTCTCTTGTTATTTATGTTGACAACACCCAAAGAGTAGTGAACAGAATTTAAAACCAGAGTCTATCTTCAGAATCCACACAATATGTGATGATCTCTGAAATTTATTATCAAGTGTAAAAAAGCAAGGTACAAGAGAATCTGTGTGCCGAATTGTCTGTGTGCATATAAATGTAAAATATTTCTGAAAAAATAATAAAGTGCCAACATTGGTTGCCTCTGGGAAGAGGAAGCTGGATAGCCTGGGGACAGAGGCATATGGAAAATCTTTTCATTATAACCCTTTTATAGTTTTTGAAGTTTGAATCCTATGTATGCAAAAAGGGACTTTATCATGATACTTGCATCTGAGGAATATATTCATGATAACAAAATTTACAAGAAATAGTAGTAAAACTAGAGTTCACTGTATTAATCATAGTGGAAGATGTGTCTGACCACAAGTTATCAGAAATTATGTTTTAGTGAGCAAAGAAGCAAAAGTAAATGAAATAGCCCGATTACTAAGGAACACAATTCCATAATGAGATTATAGGGTGGCACCTGTGGCTCAAAAGAGTAGGGCATGGCCCCATATGCCAGAGGTGGTGGATTCAAACCCAGCCCTGGCCAAAAAAAAAATAAAGCAACTTGAATAATGAGATTATAACTTGTCTCTCTTTACTTTCTTTACTCCTGGTATAATTGTATCTTAAACAGCCACACTAGGAATCTAACATGAACTAATTGTCTTTCCCTGGTTTTGTGTTATACCTCATTGAGAATCATCACATTTTAGTTTCCCTTTGTCTGGATTCTAAGCATGCCAACTACATTCCCAAGCACATATCTGTCATTAAATTATGGAAATCTCTATTTTATGTCATTTTACATTTGACTGAAAGATTTCTTAATATCTGGGAAACATAAGAGGCTAGAAAAAAGCTTTGAAAGACTCTTGTCTTTTATTTCTGTTCATATGAGCATGTTCCATTTCTGTACTCTTTTTCCAAATTTTGGAAAAGAATCCCCTTAAGGCCTATAGTACTGAATTCCCAGATAATAACCCCCCAAAATTTACTCAGAGATTAGAGAAGTTAGCATAGTTCAGACTCTTAAAAGTGGTGACCTGGAATCTTAACACCTGTTTAGACAAGAAGACTACAGGCTCAGAATTTATAAGATCTTGCCGTTTATAAGAACTGTGCTGCAAGAAGAAAGGAAGCAAGACGAGAAGACCAACAGGCTTAACTGAGTAGATGAGCATAACCAGAAATTCAGTGGCTCACAGATGGTCCTGTTCCTCTCCAGGCAATGAAGGTAGGATCTAGATAGAGCTTTTAAACCCTGGTTTCTTAGTTTAAAAAATAACGAACAGGCTCGGCGCCTGTGGCTCAAGTGGCTAAGGCGCCAGCCACATACACTAAGGTGGTGGGTTCGAATCCAGCCCGGGCCCCACCAAACAACAATGATGGCTGCAACTGAAAAATGGCCAAGCATTGTGGCAGGCGCCTGTGGTCCCAGCTACTTGGGAGGCTTGAGTCCAAGAGTTGGAGGTTTCTGTGAGCTGTGATGCCATGGCAGTCTACCCAGGAGGACAGCTTAAGGCTCTGTCTCAAAAAAAAAAAAAAAACAACCAAACAAACAAACAAACAAAGCTGAAGATCTAAGATCATCCTGAGGGTGACTTTCGTCAGGTCACCACATAGAGAAAAATGCCATTTTGGCCACCGATATCACAGACAAATGAGTGAAACTCATTATACCAGTTTCTATATTAGCAAAATAGGGGTCAAAATCAGCTCAATTTCATCAGGAAGTTGTTTAAATTGAATAAGACAAATGTGTAACAGAGATAGAATTATGTACTATGCATTAAGGGAAAATGAATAATATAGAAATTATTGCAAATTCCATTTAAGTCAGGAAAATCATTATAGAGCCAGTAATAGAACCTGTATGACCTATTCAGCTAGCTTAAAGGAAATTAATTTATTAAATCATAAAATATTGAGCACTTTTAATGTGGCAGACAGTATTACAGCATTGAGGATACACAATGAAAACAGTCTGGTAAAGTTCATGTTCTTGTGGTACTTTAAGGTAGAAAATGAACCAGATTATGAAAAATAAGTTATTAGATTTCATAATATGTCATCATCTTTACAAGTGATTTGGATAATATATGATAAACTGATAAAGAAGACAGGGAGTTGGGGATTGCAATTTTAAGAAGGGTATACAAATAAGATCTCACTGAGTTGTCATTGGCATAAAGTGGTGAGAGAGTGTAGCTATGCAGGGGCAGCTATACCAGGCAGGAGCAAAGAG